GAAAGGAACACTATATATAGTTTATATCTCATGCATTTTAACAAGCCAAACAGTCTTTTTGCTCTTTGACTCTGGGCCCGGAAGTAGGGCTTCCTGACCTATGTGAGTTCACAATGATGACAGACCTCCCAACTCATGAATTTTTAATACTAAAACTCTCTTAACATCTCCAGCTCAAACTTAACACCAACACTGATGAAATAAACTTAACTGTGCACTGAAGCCCTACAATCTTCTCTTTGTGCAAGTAGAAAATAGATATAGTAGTATTTCTGAATGGGGAGAGTCACAATGATTAAATGAGATAATAAACCTTCAGCCTTTAAATACTATGTTATATACAACTGCCAAGTACAGATCAGGGCTAGAGAAATGATATACAGAGAGATAAGGAAATGTTGTATAAAAGAAAAAAACTTTCTATCTCATTGTAAAAAATTATGTGATAAATGAGCTTTTGAATTGTGGTGAGAAAATTTGAACAAAGAGAAAAAAAGTTACATTGACTCCTGGAAAAATCTAGAATCAGTGTTCTGGATCTAATTTTCATTAAGTATTATAATTTTTTAAAATATTGTTATACAGCATTCTAATTTTTGAAACAGTTAATAAAGGTGAATTCTTTTCACATGAATTCTATACTAGATGTCCACTTTTTGACATACTGTTTATAGAATACATACAGAATCTTTTTCTACTTTCTTTAAAAAGCTCTTTCAGCACATTTAAAAACCACAGTTTGTTTCCTTACATGTGCCTCACATAAAGAGGTTTTTTTTTTTTTGTTGTTGGTTGTGGGGGCTGAACTCTGGGCCTGGGCACTGTCCCTCAGCTCTTCAGCTCAAGGCTAGCGCTCTATCACTTGAGCCACAGTGCCACTTCTGCATTTTTTCTGCTTATGTGGTGCTAAGGAATCGAAACTTGGGCCTCATTCATGTGAGGCAAGCACTTTACCACTGAGCCAACTTCCCAGCCTTAGTTTTGGTTTTTAATATAAAAATAGTATTTCTACTTTTTTAAAACTTTAAGTTCTACTGGTTACCAAATGTTACTTTTTATCTCATTGCTTGTTTATTTTGTTGGTTTTGTTGCTTAGAATGCTCTTTTTTTTTCAAATAAAACATACATCAATTCCTTGAAATAACGTACAGATGAAGTAGAAGAGAGAGAAAACGGTTTGATCATTTTATCTCCTTTGTGAGACACTTTAATTTAGTTAGCAGAAATTAATTAATGAAACTCCCAACTTTTTGGCAGACATAATAGGATTATATTGAATATCTACAAACTACAAGCCTATCATTCTATGGCAATATAGATTATAATAATTTATTTCTATTAATTTACTCATGATTATAAACAGAATGAATAGATTTGCCAATGAACTGGGAACATACTTTGCAGTGACTACATACAATCATACAGATCACACTTCTCTACATGACTCCCAGATAAGTGATCGATCGTAAAGTAGCCATTTTCTAGTCTATGAAGTACAAACACTGCTGAGCCAATATACTCTTCTTTGAGAATGGAGAAGTGCAGGAACTATTGTCTTACAATGTTGTGTGAGTGCTGGAAGCTTTCATGTATTTAGGGACCAAAAGAAATATTTGATCATGAGCAGACTAATAATTAAACCCTTTAAATCAGCAAAGCTATGGCCAAAGACTAACAAGTAGCAAACAAAAGTCTAAGAGACTCTCTGTTGCTCCTTTTCAAGTTGCCATGAGGCCTGGCTTTCTGTCCTCGCATTTGTGTTACACTAATTTAATCTCTGTTCTCTCAATTGTCTATGTATTGGCATGGCCACCATGATCATAAAATCATTTGATGTAGACTGCATTTGGATAGGAATTCAGTTGACTTTTTCTTAAGTATTACAATTATAAAAGGAACATGGATCATGAAACTTTATTATTATTGTTATTATTATTATTATTATTGTGATAATTGATGTCCACCATAATGTTTTTCAGCATACAATGAAGTTACTATTGATAAATAACAAGATATATAACAAATACAATACTTTTTTTCCAAGTCTATATTAGGGAATTCTCTGTCTATTTTTCCAGGTATATGTTTAAGGCACAAATATCTAAAATGACTATTATCAACTTTTCCTGACAAAGTCAAAGATGACAGAGAATTATAGCGTGCTAAGAAGAACAGTTTACATGTTAAAGAAAATTAAAGCTTGAGATCAGTGGTTATAACTGCCATTGAACTGAAATGCTTTGCTTAGTGTTCTGATTCTAAAATACCCTATAAATTGACAAGCCTGAACTCCTGAGGAATTCAACTGTTGGCACTGGTTCCTTTTATGGTGAGGGTCAAGGTCCAGAGCAGCTACAGTATTCAATGCACTCTCCTCTCATATCGTAAAAATGTATAAAGAAAATTATACTCCAATTACTATTTTTTAACTTTAAAATGACTATAGTAATTATTCTAGGAAATACCTTCATAAATGAAGTGAAATTTATTTACTCATTTGCCTAAGGCATGTGATGATATTTATTTTATGCATCTAGCATATTTTGGCAGCAATTTCTTCTGAGGCAATAATAACAAGTCAGGCTAAATAATCTCCAAGATTCTTTAGAACAACACCAAGATTATCTGCTTCTGTAATAATCTCAGTATCTGAAAAGCTGTAAATAATAGTTTAAATATTTTGCTTTAGATCAAGATGAGAGATTTTTTTTTCTTATTGGGTGTTCTTTTTTTTTTTTTTTTAAACAAAGCTTCCAAAACTTACAAGCTTACACTCTACTTAACACTGCGTAATTTTTTCATAATAGAAATGTTTATTTTTAATGCTGTTTAGAGCCTTCATCTTAAAAAATACACTTAAGTTAAAGAGTTAAATATTTTAAAGGTGGAAGATAAGAGAATTCCAAGTTAAAGAGGCTAAGAGTCTTCGAAGTTAGATAGGTACTTGGCAGTCCGACTTCTAACTGTAAGATTATACTTCAATTTTCATATTTTAATGAGTAATTTGGGTGAGTATTATTATAGTAGAATATGCTGAAAGGATAGTCATTAAATTTCTGAATATCTGACTTTCTCCACCAGTGAAATAAAAAGAAAATGATTACTTAAACTGCTTTGTTGTGTTGAGATTGTTAATATGTTATATTAAATCTCAGCAATATTAAGACTATTAATGTCATATCATATTTAAAAATTTAAGTAATAATGTTTAAAATAAAATAAGTAAAATAACATTTTTAATTTTATTTTTAGTATTTTTATTATCTTAACTATTTGTTCAAAATGGTCTTAGTTCAACATGTCAGTTTGTGAGTTAAATGCATGTTAGTAAATGTCATAATTTCCATTGTTTTCACCCATCTCTCCCCACCCCACCCATTTAAAATTTTTATTTTATACTTATAGTTTTGCAAATTCCAAAGCACTTTTCCCCCATCACTTTCTCTACAGCCAGCTGAGGCTGGCCTGATTTCACAATCTTCTTGCCTCACCCTATTGAGCTCTGAGATGGCAAGTAAGTTCAAGTTTACATTTGTTAGAAACATAAACTTTAAAAGGACAAGCAAAATGCTCTACACCTACCAATCTTGTTCTTATTTCTTATGTGTTAGTGTTCTAGTCAGTAAGAATACACATTTTCTTTCAGATGCATTAGGCATTGACCTTTGGTAAAGAAAGTTACCTTTCCCAAAGGTCTTTTTCAGCGTGTAGCCTTGGGGCAATATTTTTTTCTCATTAACACCAACTCTGACATATCTATTTACTGAGTTTAAATAATTCATGCCTTGAACAAAAAGATTACATACAAGAGAGGTTTGCCAAATTCTGATTTTTAAAACTTAAGTATTTGCAGTTCGTAGACTAGCTCAAATCAAGAATGGTAGAAACTATATCCTCACTAGTCTGACAATTTCTCACGGTTATGAAAGTGAGGTGAAAACTCAACTGTATGCACAATCTTCATAGTTCCCAGAGTTGTGCAGTTTGATATGGGATGTGACTTTCAATACCAATTTCAAGTTGTAACATCATTTTTCCAAGTTGTTTTCAATTTAGGGTTAAAAAGAATACACTTTGGATGTGCTATGTGTAGGCTTGAACTGGAGTAAGATGAGGGTTTGTAAAATGAAGGTTTGAGCTTAAATTCTTGTATTGGCTAGGCTTACTTGCTCAGCTGGTGCTCTATCCACTGGAACCTTACCTTTAGCCCAGCTTTCTGAAGTTTACTTTGGGGATGGAGTCATGGATTATCTGCCTTGGCTAGATTTGAGCCATGATTCTCTGTTTCTCAGCTTCCTAAGTAACTAAGATTATAGACATGAACCACTAATGGTTAGATTTGACATTTTGTTATATATGTGGAAGGTAAAAAATGACTTTTTCACATAGCATTATGTATACAAAAACAGAATAGTTACATATTAAGTTGGACTTGTTTTTAGGTTCACACATTTATAAAATATTTAAATTTTCACACATTAAAATGCATTGCGATTCATACTGTACAAGTAGGCAATCACTTATCTCTATGGGTTTCATATCCACAGATTCAATCACTGTGGATTAAAATGATGTATCTATATGGAACATGCAAATACTGTTCCTGTCATTATTCTCCAAATTATACAGTACAATGACTATTACATAGAATTTACATTGTGTTTGGTAATAAAAATAACCTAGAGATCACTGAAGGTAGAGAAGAATGTGCATGGGTTAAATGCCACAGCTATATGCCATTTGTAAAAGGGACTTGAACAACCTTGGAATTTTTTATTTTTAGTAGAGGAACCTGGAAATTATTCCTTGTAGATACTGAGAAGTGACAATATGCTTTATTATATTATTGTACAATATACAAGAATCTTTTTTGAAAAATAAAACTCAAAGACTTTATATTTATGATAAATGAATGTTAACTACGTAGAGATAAGAAAAATGTGTTACAAAAGTATTTGCACTTTCTCTTTGCTTAGTGTACATATGTCTTTGCATTTCAGAACTCTTGGATCTGAACAGAACATCAATATTTCACAGCCCTTTTGGATTTCTGGATCTCCATGCAATGCTGCTGGATGAATATCAAGAACGGCTCTTTGTGGGAGGCAGGGACCTTGTGTATTCCCTGAGCTTGGAGCGAATCAGTGACGGCTATAGAGAGGTATCCAAACACCAAATTGCTATTCCAGAGGGAAAGCAAAGGGGAGAAGAATTGCAAGGATTATCCTCAGCTTATTTCCTTTCACTGTGTTGACCACTTTAATTTTTTTTGAGTGATTACCTTATTGAAATAAAATATTCTTTTAAAATGAAATCATTTTTTAAAGTTCATGAAACATTATGAATGCACTTTTCTAGAACACAAACTGATATACAGATCCCCAAAGGCTCCTGCTGGTGATCTGACATTCTTCTTGCATTATTTACTTTGTTGTCACACCCACTATCCTGAGACATGGGATGGAGCATTGTGAATCACTAGGAGTTTCTCTGGGTTTTATTGCTCCAACGCCCAGGCTTGAAGAAATGTGGGTGTATGACATTGGTAAAACGGCCTCGTGTAGTTCTACTAGCATAATACTAATTCAGAAGGATGCTCCTTGAACTTGATAGATTAAAGCATGGTCTTAAGGTAAGGAAGAATATATTTTGAAAATGGTCAAGGTTGCAAAAACATCAGCAGTTCTTAATACTCTATGGCTATACACGGACTGATTTGGGTTAAATTCTTTAGACCTGTATCTATTTTATATGAAACATGTAATATTACTTGAATCATAGTATTTTTAGGACAAATGTATGTATGGTATCCATGTTCTTTATAATTTGTTTTTGTATTCATCAAAGTGGACCAAATCCAAGTTTTAAGTCTTTTAAAAATATGACAAAAAACAGAATTCTATGGTCCTTGGAAGTTCCTAATCCCAAGAGGAAATAATTTTAAATTCTTCAATGCTTCTTCTGGTTCTTGTTCTTTTTTATTTATACACAATATTTTGCTCTAGGAGCTGAAGAGTATAACTCACTGCTAGAGTCTGTGTTTAGCAGGAACAAGGCCCAGAGTACAATTGTACAACTGTTTCCTCCGCCCTGTCCCCCACCACATGCTTTATATAAATATTTGTGCACTGCTCTTTATTGAAATTTTGGGTTGGAGATTTTTGGTGGGATCTGTGAACTTGAGGGAAGATGAAAACTTTATCTTCCTTCTCTTGTAGTAGCTCAGTTCAAATGTCTATGCACCACTCTTCCCCAGCAGCTCTTTAGTCCCTGCCTTTTGACTTCCAAGTTTGTTGATATACAAATTTTAGTTAAACAATAATTAACTATTTATATTATTGTAATTAGGAAAATAGTTGTGACTGCTGGGCCATTTAATGTTAGAGGAAGTTTATCACACAATAAGAAGGGAAATATAAAATTCCATGGAAATTCATTTGTTTCATATGTTTTGAAGAATTTGCTCCACTGATTTTTGAGCAACAATGTAGCTTCTAAGAATTGAGCAATTCTCATTCCAAAGTTGTGTAAGGTAACCACTCTCCTGCCCATGTATGCTGAGCCCAAGCTTTTAGATTTTCCTTTTAATATCTGGAATTTACTGTCTCTTATGTGTTAATTTTATTGACTTTGGGCTTGTCTACATGGAACTCCATGGGTTCATCTCTGGAAAATGTTATTATTTGTCTGACATATCTTTTTCCGTCTAAATTGCCCATTTGACTTCTAGACTCATAAGTTAAATATCCCCCACAGTATGATCTGACTTTATTGTACTCTCTCTCTCTCTCTCCTCTCTCTCTCTTTCTCTCTTTCTTTCATATATATATATATATATATATATATACATACATATATATGTTTCCTGCTCTTTATTCTTTACTCTTCTCCCTTTCTCAATCCATAGATTTCTCCCCCTTCTCCTCCTCCTCTTCCTCCTCCTCCTCCTTCTTCTCTTTAAACAGTTGTACAAAAGCAGTTACCATTTAACAAAGCAGTTTATGAATTACAATGCACCTTGAATATCTGACATTATTTTTAAAAATTCAGCTCCCCTCACATTGCTGGCATTTAGATTTCTGCTTTGCCCCATGTGTAAAGGCCATGAACACCTATCCATGTGTTTTAGAGTTTCTTTAATGTTGAGTAAAATTTTTTTGGCCTAATACATTCCAGTTTCATTTTTCCATTTCTCATTGTGCCCTTTAAATATTCTTTGCAATCATACTATTTGTTGCACAATGGAGTAGACTCAAATACTATATTACATCCTAAATCAATATTTGCTGTAAATTTTAGCTTTATTTTCACTATATTCTCTTTAGATTTTTCTCTTTCTGTTTCTACTCTCATTTACATCACATGCAAGTATGTACAGTTACAATGACCTGATTAAATTCAATGGATTCTTCTTTGATGCATTGGATGTTCTCTTTCACACTTAAACCTTCCCTCCCTTCCTTCCTTTCTTCCTTTCTCCCTCCCTGGCTTCCCTTTTTTCCCCCAGTTTTCTTTCTTCCTTTGTAATCTGTCTGTGTCTCTGTCTTTGTCTCTGTCTGTCTTTGTTTTTGTCTCTGACTCTCTCTCTTTCTCTCTCTCTCATGCTCTCTATCTCAGAGTGATGTCATCTTCATACTTAGATTTGGATTCTCTGGTATCTAAACTAGGGATTATAAAGTAGATCTTTTAAGCAGATTTTATTATGTGATTATTAAAAGATCCTCCAAGGGAATTTGGCATCACTCATGATTAAGAAACGGTGTAAAGGAAATGGCTCCTAAAATGTCTTTTTCAGATCAAGATTATCTAATGTGACTCTCATGAGAAAAGTCTCTGGAATTTATTTATCAACAGCTTCTTTGGTGAATCTCTTAGTAATTTCTTGAGTTGTTCCTTCCCATGGACACCATGAGAACAACAGATAGCAGTTTTCCTCTCTAATGTGATTCCCCTTAGAGTAGGGGAAATTGAATCTCTGAATTATTCTCCTTTGTTTGACCTAATTGTACCCCCAGGCCTTTCATGCCAGAAGACAGGTTTTTATTGAGGAAATGACCTGTGAAAACACTAAGAGCAGAAGACCCAGAAAGCCATCAATTTTTATACACTACTTCTAGGAAACTAAACAAGAGCAGTATGTGGCTATTGAGCTTCAGGATGCGTGTAAGCAAATATATCAACAAAAGCAACTACAGAAATGACTAAATTCAACATTTCTCATGCACTCAGAGATAAATTTCATTTTCCTCTGGGTCTTAAAGCTCATACAATTTGGATTGCCTTTTCAAGTAACATAGTTGATTCAACCTTACAATTGTCAGCCTTGTGAAGAACCCTCTCTGGTCTACAGTAATGGCAGGTCCTAGAGAAAAGGCCTAGCTTTTACACTTCCTTACCTTGGAGGTAACTTCATCCCACCTACATTTTTTATTTTGTACTTGCTACATGTTTTGTCTGTTTTTCCAGAGTGATCAGCAATAAAATTCTCAATAGGCCCTTTGTGTTTGTTTCCAGTTACAGCAAAGCTGGAATGAGGTCAGCCTCACAGGCCTTCTATTTAAAGCAGTAGGCTGAAGACAAATTTGACTCCTTGGTGGTCTCCAGGCTCTGATGATGTAATGCAGCTACTTTTCAGCCAAGGTCTTCTCCTGAATTGCTCTCTTAATTAGTTGTTTGCTAATATATTAATATATAATATATATTAGTGATATATATGTATATATTAGTCCTCCACCCTGCTTTGTTTTGTCTGTCATTGGGTTTGTCAAACTTTCTATAACATCAATTGGCATTTTGAATTATTCTTATTTGAAAACAATGATGTCCTACATGGTTTAGGACTTTGAATTTAGTTTCTAGTCTTTACACAATAGATTCTAGTAGCAGGACAATAGTCATGATAATTAACACAATGTCTCACTGGGTGTTGTTGATAGCTCCTGTAATCTTTAGCTTATTCAGGAGGCTGAGAGCCAGAGGGTACAGTTCAAGGCCAGCCAGGATAGAAAAGCTTGTGAAAGCTTGTGATACTCCATCTTCCAAAGCTATGCTAGAGGTCATGCACAAATGGTAGAACAGCAGGAAAGCAACATGAACAAGCAAGCTCTCCAGAGACTTTCTAGGATACAACACTCTAATTCAAACTACCCTCTTATATATAATCAGGATCTAGATTCTCTCCTTAAACACACACACACACACACACACACACCATCTCAGACCTCAGACACTGATCTTTCTAGTTATACCATATTCCACTTTTCTTCAAATCAAGTATCTTGAATATGTAACTAATGCTCATTTTCATCACTTTATCCATTCCATTTAATTCTTACTTTTAATATCTTTCCATATCTACTAAAATTTGATGGATAAAAGGACATAAGTAACCCAAATATTTTAGGGTTGTATAGTAATATTTTCAGTTGTAACCCAACCAGCTCAAGAATAAGAACTCACCAGTCCCATTACCTAGATAACTATATTATCTTCTACTTTATTTCACTTGCACCCACATTCTAGAGCAATTGCTTTACTGGAGTTTATAATTATCTTTTTATTTTTAGTATTCAAAATTATTTTGTCATACATGAAAGGTTCTTCATGGGCACACTATTCAATTAGTGTTGATATTTTTGAGCTATGCAAATATGATATATATAAAATATGTTTCCATATCGTATAATTGAATTTGTTGTTTTATATTCATTTTTTTTTTAGATTCATTCATATTCTTTGTCTCTTGAAGTAAAGTAAGAACAGGCTCTGAATTTGAGTTTATATTGCTACTTTGGTATATGATAACATTGGGTAAATTCCTTAACCTGTTTGCGCCTCTATTGTTTTTTGTTTTTCCTTAGAAGGGGGAAAGGTATATACATTTGTGAAGAAGACTTATTGTAACATTTGCATACACTAAGCACTTCTTACTTTGATTTTCTCTGCTATTTTCCATCAACTGAATAGACTACAATTTTACTGCTCATTTCAAGCTAAAGAATATTTGAATGATTTCTAGTATTTTATTTGATCAGTGTTGCTACACTTATTCTATGAATTTTCCTGTCTGGGCACTGGTCACTCATGCCTATAATCCTAGCTATTCAAGAGGCTGAGATGTCAGGATCCCAGTTTGAAGCTGGACCAGGCAGAAAAGTCCAA